TGCTGAGTTTTCATCCATTGTAATTTCACATACATATTTTAAAAATTCAGCTTTGCTCTGGGGTTCTGGTTGCAACAATAATCCCTCCACATCAGTGATTGTCAGTGAGATGTTTGTCCATGTGTCTCTCATAATGTCCTGTAGTTTATCTCTGAGCTCTGACACAGCTGCTTCAGTTTCCTGCTGGGATCTGATCTGCTGCTTCTCATCAGAGCTTCTTTTCTGGATGAGACGGATCAGCTCAGTGAAGATCTTCTCACTGTCCTCCACTGTTTTATCAGCAGAGTGATTGATGGCCTCCACCTCCTGTTGAAGCAGCTTCACATCTTCCTCTCTGTCCTGGATTCTCTGCTGGATTTTTCCTCGTCTCTCCTCCAGCTCTCTCTGCCTCTCAGTCCTTTCTTCTTTAGCTGAGACTGTGCGATGGCCTTTATGTTGTTCTACAGAGCAGAGATAACAGATACACTTCTGATCAGTGCGGCAGAACATCTTCATCACCTCATCATGATCAGAGCAGATGTTCTCCTGGAGGTTCTTTGAAGGTTTCACCAGCTTGTGTTTCTTCAGTGGAGCCACATGATAATGGGGCTGAAGGTGTTTCTCACAATAAGAGGCCAGACAGACTAAACAGGACTTGATGGCTTTCAGTTTTCCTCCAGTGCAGAAATCACAGAACACATCTTCATGTCCAAAATAGAAGGTATCAGCAGGAGCAGCTTGGAGTCCAGTCTTCTTCAGCTGCTCCACTAAAGCTGCTAACATGGTGTTCTTCTCCAGGACAGGCCTTGGTGTACATGTTGTCTTGCACTGAGGGCAGCTGTGGATTCCTTTCTGATTCTCTTCATCCCAGTGTGTTTTAATGCAGTTCATGCAGTAGCTGTGTCCACAGGGAATAGTCACTGGATCCTTCAGTAGATCCAGACAGATGGAACAGGAGAAGGTTTCTAGATCCAGCTGAACTGCCCGCTGCTCCATTTCTCCTCTCAGTCACGGTGGCTGTGTGACTTTAGTTTCCTGAAATCAGAAACAGGTTTGAGCTCGACTTTGGTCTGATCTACAAATCATGTGTCAGTGCAAAAACGCAGCAGCCAATCAGCTCTCACATTTAGCAGCTGTTAGTTCCACCCACCTTCAAAACTGTGAAATTAAATTGTTGTTTTTCTAAAAATCACTTATGAATTCTGATCATTTTTAAACCTTAATTTTCAATTTTTAGTATGAGTTAAACTCACAATGGATCTAAAGTTGTTAAAAAAAGTTTATTTTAGCAGCTAATTTGCAAAAGGCAGCAACATTTTTTATTAGCTAATGGCTCTGACTGTTCAGCCCTCAGAAGTGGTGTGATATGATGATGTAACTGAATGGGTGGTAGCTAAGCAGGGAGTGGTGGCTTCACTCTGAAGACGTCTTGTTCATCAGGGTTAGAAGAAAACAATTGTTTCACATTAATTCATGCCATGATCAGCTAAAGGCAATATGTCATATTTTCCTATAGATGAGTATTGCCTAATGGTAAAACACCCCTGAATAAAAATGTGTTTACAGACAAAATATCTGCTTCTTTGTCAGCAATTCCTTTAATCCGCTCCACACAGCTACAGTGTATTAAAGGCTTTTTGTCAAACTTTAAACAACTGTAAAAACAGTTGAACAGTGACAATGTCCACATTGATACCTATAGAGTTAATAATGGTATAGGCTACCATAATATTGTTTAAATTACAGTATCTAAATGAAAGCTAATATGTTTAAGTTTTTTTTATGTAGGCTGTTAAAAAAAGAAAAACCAAGAGATAAGAAAACAGAATCTCTGACAAAATGGTTTCTGACTGTTATGACCATTGAACAGATAACTGGAACAGCTTAGCAACACAGAATAAATCACTATGGAAACTTATGTTTCTCTCTGCCTTTCATCTAAAACTGTGCATCATTAAAATCATGTGACTGAAAAAAAATATAAAATTTAATTTTAAAAATGTAAATATTTTTATTTATTTTAGTCACATGAGTTTTGACTGAAATCTACCTATTAAGCGATGTTATCTAGAAAATTACAGCATAATCCAGAATCTCAGTTTGGTGAATCAGACCTGATGGAATATATAGTCTGGCTTTCATATTTCCATCATAAATTACCTAAATAATTTATGTCTACTGAGAACCTGATACAAATCACTGAATCTGTATGAGTGTGTAGAATATCACTGATGTTCATTAGTCCTGCTCTATTTCTCCTCTCAGTCACGGTGGCTGTGTGACTTTCGTTTCCTGACATCAGAAACAGGTTTGAGCTCGACTTTGGTCTGATCTACAAATCAAATCATGTCAGTGCAAAAACACTGCAGCCAATCAGCTCTCACATTTAGTAGCTGTTAGTTCCACCCACCTTCAAAACTGTGAAATTAAATAGCTGTTTTTCCAGAAATGATTTACTTATGAGTTCTGATATATATATATATATATATATATATATATATATATATATATATATATATTTTTTTTTTTATATAAGTACAAGTTACAGTAAATTCACAATGGATTTAAAGGTGAGAAAAAGTTATGAATTCGGATATTTTTAAACCTTCATTTTGAATTATAACTATGAGTGAAATTCACAATGGATCTAAAGTTGATAAAAAGTTATTTTAGCCGCTAATTTGCAAAGGGCAGCAACTTTTTTTATTAGCTAATGGCTCTGACTGTTCAGCCCTCAGAAGTGGTGTGATATGATGACGTAACTGAATGGGTGGTAGCTAAGCAGGGAGTGGCAGCTTCACTCTGAAGACATGTTGTTCACCAGGGTTAGAAGAAAACAATCATATTTCATATTAAATTATACCATGATCAGCTAAAGGCATAATTATGTCATATTTGCCTGTATATTAGTTTAAAATGCTTAAAACAGCATGATATAGGACTTTTAAATCCAGTTTATACTATAAAAAAACTAGATAAAAATACTGATTTAATATCTCTAAATCAGCCTCCCAATCAAGTATTTCCAGCAATTGAACAAAGTAAAGTCATATTCAGTAAATTGCAGATTACAAATAAATAAATTAGAATCTTTGCACACATACTACCTGATTTTGTCCAAACACCAAATCCCAGTACATTTCAAACCAAACAGACCCTTAGACAGAGGCTGGTGCAAACTAGAGACAAACCCCCAGACCTAAGATGAGCGGAGTGGTGTATGCAGGTCAATGCAGTGAGGAATGCTCTGATCTTTATATTGGAGAAACCAAACAACCTCTCCACAGACGCACTGCCCAACACAGGAGAGCTACCTCCTCCAGACATGACTCGGCTGTACATCTACTCCTTATGGACAAAGGTCAGTCTTCTGAGGACCAGAATGTTCACATTTTGGACAAAGAAGACGGGTGGATTGAAAGGGCTGTAAAGGAAGCCATTTATGTTAAGAGAGAAAAATCAACCAGAGGAATGGGCCAGCATCGGGTTTTCAGGCCAACAACCTCAATGACTCCCCATCACTAAGGGGTGGACCTGTTTTTTGGTTCAATTTGCACCTTTTCTAAGCCATAACAAGGCTTTGTTGGGCCACTTTTTAACTCAATGCTACTCCAGACATTTTGAATTGAGAAAGCTTCCTGGATGGGAAGCAAAACGTCTTTATATTTGGGAAAACAAAGTCCAGTGGTTTGTGGTTTGTTTCTTTAATGTTTTTGTTAAACCCCCTTTAAAGTGTAATTATATTTAGCTCAACTGTTTGTTTATTAACCAAATTAAACAATACTATCTGCACATTTTAACCCCGGCACAATCATGACTCTGCTTATATCACACTTTATCAACTCTAAGGATCCTAAAGTTCTTTACACTCAATCACTCATTCACATTCAGGCTTAATGTGGTGTAAAAGCCCTGAAAATGGAGATAATTGAATAAATGAGCCACGGACACATTCTTTGCTCTAACATGGAATGGTTGACTTATCATAACTTCCAAACATACAGAACAATCCCAAACTTAAAACAACTTCCTTATGAACCATCGTGTTACACAAACATAATAATAATAGATACTATAGACAGTATAATGCTTTACACTCACATGGATCTGCATTGGCTGCTATGAGCTGTCAGCTATGCTGTCAGGAAACATTCTTAACAACAAAAGCTGAACATATATTTGGTAATGAAACATATTAGACTTAGACTTAGATTTAGACAGTACTTTACTGATCCCTTGGGCAGACTCCCTCCGGAAATTAAGGTTACCAGCAGCTTACAGGGCAANTTTCCTAACTGCACTATAATGGCAGCAGGACACAGAGTTCAATGTTTGCATCATAATGATCAGTTTAGTTTGCTGCTGATGATAATACATCTTTAAAAAATCCAGTTACATTTTTACTGAACTTAAAGCAGACAGAGGAGCTTCCACCAAACATGTCTGACAGATGTCAAAATTCAAGTGTCTCATGCATAAAAGAATACATGGCTTTAGTAAAAGTTGGCAGGCGGGAGAAATCTTTATACTTTCGACAGCTGGATGTTATGAACCATACATAGACTTGTTACCGCACACCTTTCCTTTATACATCATAATTTATGAAAAACTCAAACACAGCTGGAGTAACTGCTTGGAACGCCCATTTACAAATCATTACAGAAATAACCAGAGGAACCCCACTATGTGTTGAAGTAACCATGGTAACGATGCTGCCAGCTCATCACAGAGAGATTCTTACACCACAGCAAAGGGATATTTATCACATCCATCTAAAAACCTATTGAATGACATCAGCAGCTCCCTATAACTGCTAAAAAGCTGCTAGGCAGTTAAACAGTGACATTTAAATAAGGAAGAGGTTCAAAGCCATGGTGATGGAGGTAGTTATAAATATTTAAAAATGATTAATGATACTAATATTATAATTATATATAATAGTGCACCTCTACTTAAAGTGCTACCAAAAAATGCAAAAAAAAGATCAATTTGCCTTTAATGGTTTTATTCTATTGGATCAAGGGAGAAAATAAAATTCTATTGCAACCTCTAGCTCGTCTGATTGGCACTTTCTGACTATGCTGTCCTGCCCTACAGGCATGTGAATGCTTTAGTATGTGGTTTTACTTGGAGAATTGCTGTTATCTATGTAAAAGTTGGGGAACTGCTCCATTTTTAGTTTGATGAAATGTCACCATTGTTTTGCTGGTAGCCCAACAGCTGAATGGAAGTTTATTTTATATCTATCATGTCTTTTTGTGCTTATTCAAAGAAACACCTGTAAGAATATTTTTCTTATTGCTATATGTTGACTTATGTAAACAGGACTAAGTTTGTGTATTATAATTTATTTTTTTTATTGAAAATCTCATGGAACTGACTGAATACTGCAGGAGAGCTGGAGGGAGCTTTATGACAAGTTAATTAACAAGGTGCAAGGCTGTATCTTCTGTTACACAAGACAATATTAGGAAGCTCATCTTTACATACAATACGTGAANAACCCTTCAAGAACTCACCTCTGCCTCTCAGCTTCTGCTTTTGGGTCCGATCAAAAACCTTTAAACCAAATCATGACATAGAGAGGATCTCTTCCCCTTCAAGCCACCACATTCAGCTCCAAGCCAGCCAGATCCAGCTCCTGAACCAGAAAATAACCCAGTTAGTGTAAAACCTGAACCCCTTAGTCCAGCTTCTAAGACCCCCCGGCGTAAAAGACGGCGTCGCCGTGAGCCCGCTCTGAGCCGTCTAGAGACCCCTGAGCCAGTTCTGAGCCGTCTAGAGACCCCTGAGCCAGTTCTGAGCCGTCTAGAAACCACTGAGCCAGCCCTGAGCCGTCTAGAAACCACTGAGCCAGCCCTGAGCCGTCTAGAATCAGCTGTGAGCCGTCTAGAGACCCCTGAGTCAGCTTTGAGTCGTCCAGAGACCCCTGAGCTTGCTCTGTGCCGTCCAGAGACCCCTAAGCCCGCTCTGTGCCGTCCAGAAACCCCTGAGCAGATTTTAACCTTTAATTCTCTGATGTTATTGGTTAAATC